CAAGGGCATGTACCTGGGTTACGGGCACATCCCCAGTGGGAGATGTGCAGGAGGCAGCTGATCGATGTTTCTCTCTCATCGATGTTTCTAACTCTCTATCTCTCTCCCTTCCTCTCTGTAAAAAATCAATAAAATATATTAAAAAAAAAAGACACTGAAAAACAAATGCTCTTTTTCATCTCTGGCCCAATAGAGAAGAAATCTCTAAAATCTGTTCACAGAAGTTTACCAAATGGTCAGTAGACCATAAACCCAAATTCTCAGACATTACTCCCATCCGTGGGAACCAGCTGATTGGGCATAAGCAAACCAAAAGCATGAAATCATGTAAAGGCAGGAACTAGGTTAGCAGAAAGCTGGGCAAGGTTCTTTTGTCATTTGGGATTCATTTCTAGGAGCCAAGAAGATAGGCTGGGGTTAAACCTGTGAGGTGTGTATCCTTCAGCAATGCAGTTTACCTGGCTCTGTCAGCTAATCTAGGCTTCTCCAGAACCAGTGAAAGATAACTTTATAGCTATGCAATTATGACTGTGCTGATATAAATGAACACATATCAAAGATTTTATTTAACTCAATAGCTAATTAAAGGAATTAGTAGGATGTTATGGCTGGTTTCTATAACCTGAATCTAGTCTTGAGAATACATTAGAAAACTCAAATAGAGGGACATTGTACAAAATTACTGGCATATAATTTTAAAAATGTTTAAATCATTAAATGCAAGGAAAGACTGAAGAGCTGTTTCAGTTTAAAAGATCCTAAAGAAGCAAACAACAAAATGTAATATGGTTCTGAACTTGGGATCAATGCTAGAACCTATGGGCAATGTCTCAAGGACTGTGGCCTGAATTGGATAGTTATGTGGTTATGTAGAGAAATACTTTTTTTAAAAAAATATATTTTATTGATTTTTTACAGAGAGGAAGGGAGAAGGATAGAGAGTTAGAAACATCGATGAGAGAGAAACATCGATCAGCTGCCTCCTGCACGTCCCCCAGTGGGGATGTGCACGTAACCAAGGTACATGCCCTTGACCGGAATCGAACTTGGGACCTTTCAGTCCACAGGCCAACGCTCTATCCACTGAGCCAAACCGGTTCGGCAGTAATTTTTAATCATAATTAAAATTAGGAATTAAATGTCTTGATTTGGTAATATAGTATGTTCACCCTAATATTAATCAAGTCAATGAATGATTGCTATTTAAAATTCATTTTTGTTTTCTGTTGATAGGTGAGAACAAGAATAACTGGGAAGTGTCAGCACTTTCTCGGGCTGCCCAGAAAGGATTTAATAAAGTTGTGTTGAAGCATCTGAAAAACACAAAGAACATCTTATCAGTAAGAAATCCTTTGTATTTTCTTTACCTTAAATAATGCAAAGATCAGATTCTAATGCTTGTGAAGAGTAAAAATTTTTATTTAAAATCTTAGTGTTATATATAAATTAGAATACGGCGTAGAAATAACCTTAATATATTTTTAGCAATAAAAGTGTAGCTAAATTATTTAGTTTACTGTCTTGATCTTGTTTTCCTGTTTGTCTCCATCTTTAAGTTAGTGGATAATAAAAAGTAATTAGTTAGAAATCAGTAAACAGTGGGAATACTGATATTATGAACGATTGATTTATTTCCTGATTGGATCTTAACACATTGCGGACCAGTAGTTTTATTGCTAGCTTTACTCAGTGGCCAGATAAGTTCTATTGAACGAGTACAAAAAACGTTTTATATAAATGTTAAAGGCACGCTTTAAAATTAAATACCCATTGCATTTTGAAGATATTTATTACATGTTCTTACAAGCTAATATCTTTTTGAAGAATTTTTGTGATTGGCCACAAACCTTAGAACAGAAAACATAAGAATTCTCATGATCCGTCCGCAATGTGTTAAGTATATAATGTTGTCAAGTTCAAGTCATGTCAGTATTTTTTTATCATGTTAATTTATTGATAGTATTTTTCAGATATGACTTGTAATATAATTGGAAAAAATGATGTAAATAGAGAAAATTGGATTAGTATATAGGTATAAAGTGAAAATTAAAATTTGGAAAACAGAAAATATTTTAAAATTAAATTTATTGTGATGACATGGGTTAATAAAATCATATGTGTTTCCGGTATAGAATTCTATAATATATCATCTGTATTTTGCATTGTGTGTTTACCACTCAAAGTGAACTCTCTTTTCATCACCATATATTTGACCCTCTTTATCCTTTGCTACCTTCCTTCCACCCCATTTCCCTCTGGTAAGCACCATACTGTTGCCTGTTATCTATGAGTTTTTGTTTGTCTCTTGGTCTTATTTGTTCATTTGTTGTTTTCAATTTTATATCCTTCATATGAGTGAAATCATATGGTTCTTGACCTTTTCTGTCTGACTTATTTCACTTAGCATGATATTCTCAAGGTCCATCCATGTTGTTGCAAATGGCAGTATTTCATGTTTTCTATGGCTGAAGATTATTTATTGTATGTGCATACCACATCTTCTTTATTCAGTCATTTATTGAAGGACATTTTGGTTGTTTCCACATCTTGGTCACCGTGAATAATGCTGCAATGAACATAGGGGTGCATGTATCTTTATGAATGAATGTTTTCAAGTTTTTCAGGTAGACACCCAGTCATATGGTAACTCTATACTTTTTTTAGGAACCTCTATACCAGCGGTCGCCAGCCTTTTGGACCTCACGGACCACCAGTGGTCCACGGACCACCTGTTGGCAACCGCTGCTCTATACTGTTTTCAATAGTGGCTATATCAGTTTACTAGTATATCCCCATCATCAATATAGGGATTCCTTGTTCTCCACAATCTCTCCAACACTTGTTATTACTTGTTTTGTTGATGATAGCCATTGTAACAGGTGTGAGGTGGTATCTCATGGTAGTATTTTTTTAAAATGTGTTTTTATTAATTTGAAAGAGAGAGGAAGGGAGAGGGATGGAGAGATAGAAACATTGATGAGAAACATTGATTGGCTGCCTCCTGCAACACCCCATACTGGGGATTGAGCCGATAGCCCGGGCATGTGCCCTGACTGGGATACGAACAAGCAACCTCTTGGTTCATTGGTTGATGCTCCAGCACTGAGCGAAACTGGCTGGGCTCTCATGGTAGTTTTGATTTGCATTTCCCTAATAGCTAGTGAAGGTGAGGATCTTTCCACATGTCTGTTGGCCATTGTATGTCTTGAGAGAAGTGACTGTTCTCCTCTGCCCGTTTTTTAATTGGATTTTTTGTTTTTTATTGTTGAGTTGTTGATATATTTTGGATATTAACCCCTTACCAGAGGTATTGTTTGCAAATATCTTCTCTCATTTGGTTGGTTCCCTTTTTGTTTTGTAGATGGTTTTTCTGCTTTTTAGTTTGATGTAGTCTCATTCATTTACTTTTGCCTTTATTTTCCCGGCCTTTGATGGCAAGTTCATAAAACCCTCTTTAAGACCATGGTCCATAACTTTACTATCTACGTTTTCTTCTATGTTGTTTATCATTTCAGGTGTTATAATTAGATCTTTGATACATTTTGAGTTAATTTTTGTGTATGGTGATAGCAGTCTAGTTTTATTCTTTTTCACGTGGCTTTTCCATTTTTCCAGCACCATTTACTGAAGAGTCTTTCTTTTCTTCATTGCATGTTTTGGCTCCTTTGCCCAAAATTATTTGTCCAGGCTCTGGCTGGATAGCTTAGTTGGTTAGAGCGTCGTCCCTGTACACCAAAGTTGTGGGTTTGATGCTCGGTCAGGTCTCATGTAAGAGTTAGCCAATGAATGCATAAATAAATGGAATAATCTCTCTCTCCCCCCTCCCTCTCCCTCTCTCTCTCTTTAATTTATTTATTTGATAAACAATTATTTGCCCATATACATGTGATTTATGTCTGGGCTCTCAATTCTGTTCCATTGGTCTGTGTGTCTGTTCTTCTGTCAATATAATGCTGTTTTGATTATTGTTGCTTTGTAGTATAAAATTTTGAAAAAATATTACTGTCTAAAATTGATAATGCATACTCCATCCAGGTTAAACTCTTCCCACCTTATTATTTTTGATAGCTTTTGATTGAGAGACTTGAATGATCTTAGAAATGGTTGTCTAATTTTTAAAAATTATTTGATTACATATTGATAAAACAAGATGAAAGTATTTGAGCTTATCTCCAGTTTTGCAAATAAAATCTCTTTGTAGATACACAGTCTCTGCTCCCTAGCACCCCAGGTGATTTCAGTGCTAGGCCACAATACTTTTACTTGTTGATGTTCTCACTGTGGTGTAATGATGGGTAACACTATTGGTTCCTTAGCACTTTATTAAGTTTTGACCCTTGAGTACACATTTTTTAAATATTCTGTGTGATGAAACAGGGAGTCTGCCTAAAGCAATCTACTGCATAGTGAAGTGTGACAGTTGTCTTCAGGAAAAGCACTTGTGTGATGCTTTCTTTGAGCTTTGAACTAATGTAGCCACTTTTTTTCAAGAACACCATATTTATTTGAAAGAACGAATGACAGACATACCCGTCGATGTAGCTCAGTGGTTGAGTGTCTACCTATGAACCAGGAGGTCATGGTTCAATTCCTGGTCAGGGCACATGCCCAGGTTGCTGTATCGATCCTCAGTGTGGGGCATGCAGGAGGCAGCCAATCAGTGATTCTCTCTCATCATTGGTGTTTCTATCTCGTTCTCCCTCTCCCTCCCTCTCCAAAATCAAGAAAAATATATTTAAAAAAAGAAGAAAGTTAAAATTTTGGAAAAATTTTAACCATCACCATGAATTTGACAGCTCTTCAATACTTAAAAGATTTTTCTCAATCCAATTAAATAAAGGGCAAAGGACCTGAATAGACATTTCTCCAAAGAGTACAGATGGCCAAAAGACATATGCAAAAATGCTCAAAGTCACTAATCATCAGATAGATCAGCAAATTAAAACTACAATGAGATATCACCTCACACCTGCCAGAATAGCTACCATCAATACATCAATAAGCAGTAGTGCTGACAGGATACGGAGGAACAGGGAACCCTAGTACACTGCTGGTGGGAGTGCAGACTGGTGCAGCCACTGTGGAAAACAGTATGGAGTTTCCTCAAAAAATTAAAAAATGGAACTGCCGTTTGACCCAGCGATCCCACTTCTGAGAATATATCCTAAGAATTCCAAGACACCAATCAGAAAAAATATATGCACCCTTATGTTCATAACAGCATTATTTACAGTAGCTAATATTTGTGGCCAAAAGACATATGCAAAAATGCTCAAAGTCACTAATCATCAGATAGATCAGCAAATTAAAACTACAATGAGATATCACCTCACACCTGCCAGAATAGCTACCATCAATACATCAACAAGCAGAAGTGCTGACAGGGATACGGAGAACAGGGAACCCTAGTACACTGCTGGTGGGAGTGCAGACTGGTGCAGCCACTGTGGAAAACAGTATGGAGTTTCCTCAAAAAATTAAAAAATGGAACTGCCGTTTGACCCAGCAATCCCACTTCTGAGAATATATCCTAAGAATTCCAAGACACCAATCAGAAAAAATATATGCACCCTTATGTTCATAACAGCATTATTTACAGTAGCTAATATTTGAAAATAGCCCAAGCCCCATCAAGTAGATGAGTAGATAAAAAAGCTGTGCTACATTTACACAATGGAATGTGACAGCATGGATGGACCTTGAGACTATTATGTTAAGTGAAATGAGCCAGTTAGAGAAAGACAAACATCACAAGATCTTGCTTATATGTGGAATCTAATGAACAAAATAAACAGATGAACAAAACAGGTCCAGAGGCATGGATGTATGGGATAGAATAACAGACCTCAGTGGGGAGGGTGATGCAGGGGACAGGGAGAGATTAATCCAAGAACATGTATGCATATATAAATAACCCATGGACACAGACAATAGTGTGGGGAAGGCCTGGGGAGGGGAGGGGTTTGATGAAGGGCAAAATTGGGGGGCATCTGTAGTACTGGCAACAACAACAACAAAAGGAAGCACCCCTGGCAATGTTCTGATGACATTTGTGGTAATATTAACAAGTGATTTTTTTTGCATATATAATCAAATATTTCAATATTTGGTAGATATCAATAACCCAGTGAACCAGTAACTTCAGATGAACAATATTTTATGTTACCAAATCATGCAAGGGTAAAAAATCCACTCAAAGTGCAAGATAAACCAATGGATTTTAATGTAATAGAGTGCATAAAATTTATTGATAAAGTTTCTGGTTCCTCGTTTTAACTAATCTTTAAGGAACTAGCATTCGTTAGTGTTGGTGTACTATCAAAGAATAATCATAGCTATCTGAAAGGAACAATAAAATACGACTCCCTCCTTCTATAGCTTCCAACTGTATCCTAACAACATGTCATAAGAGCTGTCTTCTAGCAAGCCAGAAAATAATTTGCACAAATGTGAAACAATGCCACTTTCTAAGGTTTTTGTTTGCTTATTTGGAAAATACAGGGTGGGGCAAAAGTAGGTTTATAGTTGTTTATATGGAAAATAATACAATAATTAATAAATAATAATACAAGAATAAACTGTTTTGCATACTCACAACTGTACACCTATTTTGCCCATCAATAGAGAGTTAGAAACATCGATGAGAGACAAACATCGATCAGCTGCCTCCTGCACACCTCCCTACTGGGGATGTGCCCGCAACCAAGGTACATGCCCTTGACCGGAATAGAACCTGGGACCTTTCAGTCCACAGGCCGACGCTCTATCCATTGAGCCAAACCGGCCACGGCCTGTATAGTTACTTTTTCTAAAAACATGTCATTTGTTAACATGTAATGGGTTTAGTTTTTTAAAATAAAATAATTATTTAAATAATTTCTAAGATTTAACTTCTAATATGATAAATATTGATAAATATGACCAACATTATAGCTCTTTGGGGAATCCTTAGTAACCTTTAAGGGTGTGACAGGTTCTGCTGAAACTTTGGAATCGCTGGCCTAGGAAATGGGCATGTAACTGGAATATTTAGAAGAGATGTTTCTTCTTTTCATGAATTTGCAATAAAATTAACAGTAGTACTGTGTAGGATACAGTGGACCACTGGGAAACATGAACAATAAAAAGAGTTGTAAAATTGTTTTTCTTTCCTCTCATAAATCTCTTTAATTTTTAACTCAGTTATCATCACATGTAATGCGATTGTTCCATTGCAGAATGAAGCACTGTCCTTAGAAGAAATAAGGATTAGAGTAGTACAGATGCTTGGCACTCTAGGAGGGCAAGTAAGCAAAAATCTTATAACAGGTAAATGAACTTTTAATTAACATAAATTAACCTCTATAGATGTATTTGTCCTTTAATTTAGATGTATACAGATCATGGTATATTCTCATGTTTATCCTATATGTGATTTACATATTTTCAAATAAGATTACAAAGAATAATTGCCTAATGAAGTGCTTTGATTGTACCATGCAATCTGAATAATTTTTTTACAGTACCAGGGAAAATGTTCTAGTTTGGTTATTAAACATATTTTTCATTTTGAAACAATCTAATTTGACATTCTTTTTTATATTAAGTGTTTCAGGAATTCAATATTTTTAAAACATGATATTCTTAATTTTGGATATTTTTAGAGTGTTTTTAATGAGAATTAACATTTTGTTTAGCAAAAATTCATCTATTTTTACATTTGAAATTTTATATTAAATATACTAGTGACTTTTGGTTATTTTAGGAAAAAACAGCCTATATTGGGAAAATAAGTGTTTTAAAGAGATTTTTAATAAGAGTATTATTTACTTGTAATTTTTCCACAGATTACCTTAAGCCTTTGCTGAAAGTGAAAATTCAACACCCCAGATTATTAGACTTATTTAAAAATAATATTACTTTAAATTAAATTCAAAAATAGTATATCAGTGATTTGTAATGTTGTAGTTACATGTGTGAAGTAACAAGAGGATTAATGAATAAAGTGCTTAACTTAAAAGTATAACAAAATACTCTGGTTTCACTAATGAATTGTAAGCAGTTAGTATGAGAATGTTTTGAATGAAAAAAAGCACGCTCTTCTTAATATTTTTTAACAGCTGCATCCTCAGATGAAATGATGAAGAAATATGTAGCATGGGATAGAGAAAAAAGACTCAGTTTTTCAGTACCATTTATGGATATGAAGCCTGTCATTTACCTGGATATATTTCTGCCTCGGGTTACGGAACTAGCTCTTTCAGCCAGTGACAGACAAACTAAAGTACTTTTATTTTTCATTTCACTATTATTTAGAGTCTATTGTTTTTAAGACATATATTTTTTAGGGAATAGATAATATATTTCAGCCATTTTAATATTATTTTATATTTTCTGTAATATAATAATTAGAAAATGACTTAATTATCAGAAGATATCATTGATAAATGAAAGCTAAACATAAATCATCTTAATAGATAATAACCTGGCAAAAGATTAATATACCAGAAACTTTATATTAGAAAATATAGTACAAAGGGCATTTAACAGCGATTTTTCATGTGCTTGATCATCTTCTCAAGCTGGGAGATTAGAAACATATAATTCCAAGTTTTTCTAGTAACTTGTACATTTTCAGAATGCTTCAGATATTCACTGTAGTAGTGATAATTGAAAATGTGCTAACAAATGAAGCAGAGTTCCACAATATGGCAGCATTGAAGTATGTTTCTTATGAATGTATTAGTCCCATTGCCTAAAGTTTTTAAATTTCAATTCTTAACTCTTGATTAAAGATCAAAGTGAACAGAAAAGCATTAATTTTATACAGTAAGAAGTGCTTCTTCCAGCTAACTTATAATTTGGGCATGATAGTTTTTTTCTAAATTGAGTATCATTTGTAAATATTCTTCTCTTGTTAACATGAAAACTTAAACTTTTTTGAACTCCTGGCCTATTTTAGGTTGCAGCTTGTGAACTTTTACATAGCATGGTTATGTTTATGTTGGGCAAAGCCACTCAAATACCTGAAGGTGGTCAGGGTTCCCCACCTATGTACCAACTCTATAAGCGAACTTTTCCTGTGCTACTTCGACTTGCATGTGATGTAGATCAGGTAAGTGATTGCTTTGGAATCTGAAATAGTTGCAAAAAATCTTTTAAAGTTCTGTCTAGTTCAGTGATCATCAAATTTTGCGTCACATTAGAATCACCTGGGGATCTTAAAAAAAAATACTGCTACCTGGCTGCTATCCGCAGACTCTTACTTAATCCCTCAGGGATCTGACCTGGGATCGTGACTTTTAAAAACTGGCCTGGTGATTTTTCATGTGCCATAAAGTTTGGGAATCACTGTCTGGTTAGGGTTACTGAGAATCTAGGCATCTAAAAGCTGAGTTAACTATTGCCCCTCACATGTAGGGACTCACATAGCAATCATGAAAGAGACTGGAAATGTTGACAAATGGCCTATTACTGCTGATATGCACAAAGTCTTACTGCTGTAATGAAGCAGAAAAGAATGGAATTCTCAGTTCATTTTATGGAGCTCACATAATCCTGATAACAGGTGCACACATGAAAGAAGAAAACGAAAAACTCATAAGTATAAATGGAAAATTATTCAATACTAGAGGTTTGGTGCACGAAATCGTGCACTTGGGGGTCCCTCAGCCCAGCCTGCACCCTCTTGCAGTCCGGGAGCCCTTGGGGGATGTCTGACTGAAAGCTTAGGCTGGCAGTGGGATATCCTTAGCGCTGCCACAGAGGTGGGAGAGGTTCCCGCCACGGCCACTGCGCTCGCCAGCCGTGAGCCCGCATTGAGCGTCTGCCCCCTGGTGGTCAGTACGTGTCATAGCGACTGGTCATTCCACCGTTCGGTCAATTTGCTTATTAGCCTTTTATTATATAGGATATCTGAATGAATACAATCCAGCAATATTGAGATGCACCATGGTTAAATAGGATTTTTGGTTAAAACTGGAAATTTACCACAGAAATTGATTTCAAAAGCAGTGATCCTCATCATAGAAGCCTAAAGGGCATTTGTTAGCTCCTGGTAAACTGGGGATAGTTTGATATCATCTTAATATGATAAAGAATGTCTCCCTGAATGTCAGGGACAAATCATCCCCAGTCATGAAGCACCAATGCTTCCTTGTGCTTTGGCCTGAACAGAACCCATTGGTGAGAAGTGACTTTGGCCTGTTCATAGGTGCCTCTAGGTCCTACCTGAAACAGCACCTGTGGCTTGGAGTTGTTGGTTGCTCAGTATGGCTTCACTTGTATTTAGTTAGTTATTTATAGTGGTTAGTATCTGGGCCTGTAATTCAGGCTGTGAGTTTCCGGAGGGCAGGGACATTAGAAAGGAAGGAGAAAGGATTATTATTTGGAATATAGTTTTTTAAAAATCTAGAAACCTCAAAGGTATCAACTGATAAATTCTAAGCATTAATAAAGGAGGAAGCTGATGAATTTTTATATATCAGTATCCTCATATATGTCATATATTAGTATTGACCACTTGAAAAATGTTTACAACATCCCATTCATAATAGCATCCATTAATGATTTTTTACACAGAGGAAGAGAGAGGAATAGAGAGTTAGAAACATCGATGAGAGAGAAACATCCATCAGCTGCCTCCTGCACACCCCCCACTGGGGATGTGCCCGCAACCCAGGCACATGCCCTTGACCGGAATCGAACCCGGGACCCTTGAGTCCGCAGGCTGACGCTCTATCCACTGAGCCAAACCGGTTTCGGCACAAACATTTTTTTATGAACATGAAATTAATATGTTATGTACCTGAGTTAGAAGAATCAATACTGAAAAAAATGCCAGTTATTTTCAAATCAGATAGTGTTTGGTAGCATTCCAGCAAAAAGCCCACAATTAAGTTCAGTTTGAACCTAAAAAGTAATCTGAAAGAATAATTGCTTGTACTTAACCAAGAAAAATTTTGAAAGGGTGGAGTGCTGGGGTCTTGCCCTAACAGATGTTAAAATGAAGCTACCTAAGTTATTACAGGTAGTTCAGTGGAAGTGTCTGGTAGTTGGGGAGGGGACTCATATGTACATAAGAATTGTATATTTAGTAGCCTTAGCTGGTTTGGCTCAGTGGATAGAGCGTCGGCCCAAGGACTGAAGAGTTGTGGATTCGATTCCAATCAAGGGCACATACATCTTGGTTGCAAGCTTGATCTCCTGCCCTGGTCGGGGTTTGTTTGGGAGGCAACCAATCGATGTATCTTTCTCACATCAATGTTTCCCTCTCTCTCTGTCTCTCCTCTCCCTTCTACTCTCTAAAAATCAATGGAGAAATATCCTCGGGTGAGGATTAACAACAACAAAAATAATGTATTTGGAAGAATATATATTATAAGTTGAAATGGATCATTTACTAAATCATATTAGGCCAACTGACTAACATATGAAAAATTAATCTCAAAAGGATTTAGAAGGAAAAACAGAAACTAACTATATTAGGGAAAAATGCAGTGCTCGTTTCAGCAGCACGTATATTAAAATTGGAGCGATATGGAGAAGATTATCATGGCCTCTGCACAAGGATGACATGCAAATACGTGAAGTGTTCCATATTAAAAAAAAGAAAAATGTAATGAATTTATAGTACCTCTCTGTATATTTGGATTGGGATAGTCTTTTTCTTGATAAAATATATTAATTAATATAGGAACATATGAAACTGAAAGTAAAACTCCAGATTGTCTTTCCCACTCTTATTCCCCAGGAAAAGCCACTTTATCTTAGCAAAAAATATACTCCCAGATCTTTGTAAAAACACATTTTACAAACATGCATAAGTATTTCATTTTATTTGTAAAATGTAGGATGATAGCATTAAAAAATGCTTTCTTTTGTTTATAAAATTTGATTTGGATGGATTTTGTTATCACATTAAAGATGTTCAAAAAATTGTCTTTTCATAAAGTTTGTATAGGAGGGGAGATTTTCCTACAGGATATTGAAAACAGAAGAAATGTGCTAATGTAGTGATAATTTGACTTTACAAATGTTTAAAACTACTGAATGGCACAAAAACCACAATTTTAATATATATATAATGTAGGAATTTTTTGCTACATTCTACTGAAGATGTAGATCTAAAAATGGGCAAATGGATAAAGAACAAAAATAGACAACTCAAAGAAGTATATATGGCTAGTGAACTAATTAAAAATATTAACATTTTTAATAAAGAAAAGGAAGTTAAAATGTTATTGTTTGCAGCTTTTGTCAAATAGTTTAAAAGGTGACAGTGTTGATATTGCCAGCATGTAGGGAAAGGGCCTTGCAACTTCTGTCTGCTGAGAGTGTGGATTCGCACAGGCTCTCTGCAGTCAGAGCAAAAGGCTTGGTGACCTGCAGCCCTAGTCCAGCAGTTTCATTACTGCCGACGTACTCAGAGCAGTGTGTACAGGACTTTTCATTGCGACTTCTTGTTAGTCACACATTAGATATACCTGCAATTCTAATAACAGGATTTGGGTAATTGGATCATGGTATATCCATATGTGAGGTATTGGGCTAACTAATAAACATACTGACACAGCTTATGTATTTATATGGAAAATATTCAAAATTAAGAGGAAAAGTGCTTATAAAAAGTATTTTTTACACATGTATGTGTATATACATGTATACACATATATTTAAATGTGTGTAAATAAAATATTTTGAAAGGTAACAGCAATTTTAAATGTTAACAGTGGTTGCCTTACGGAGATAGGATTGTAGGTGGATGGTTTTCTATATTTTCTATAATTTCTGTAAGTGGTGTGTGTGTATATGTGTGCATGCATGTGTTTTCTGTGTGTAGACATACATATATATCTTATATACTAAGAATAAAACAGTGTAATTCTTGCCTTACGGAGATAGGATTGTAGGTGGATGGTTTTCTGTATTTTCTATAATTTCTATAAGTGGTGTGTGTGTATATGTGTGCATGTGTTTTCTGTGTGTAGACATACATATATACCTTATATACTAAGAATAAAACAGTGTAATTCGTTTGAAGAAGAAAGTGATGCTTTAAGACCAGTTCAGACTATAAGGTAAGACCTTTATTTTGATTAATCCTAAAAATTGCTTCAAAGAAAGGATAGAAAGATATATTTTATAGAAAAATATCCAGCTGCCAGAGGTCTCTGTGTTGTTTGTTCTGCACCCCGAGGCGTGGACGGTTCTTACAGGGTTTTTGAGTGGCGGTGTTCATGCCAAGGTGCTTCATTCTTGAACTCAGTGTCAGTTGGGAAACAAAACTGGATTTGTCAGTGCTCCAGTAGGTGCCCTAGCCTCATGAGGCCCAGAAATGTGTAAGGTACAAAGATAGGGAATGCTCCCCTTCACTTTGCTACAAACATTTTACTCTCCATGTAATGAGGATTGGGTCTGCAACCATTGTCTAGGTAAGTGCTCTGATCCAAAAGAATAATAAAACTTGTCTTCCCTCTCCAAGATGATCACAGGGTTACACCGAGGCCACTCGGTTAAGCTCCCAAGGTTTCAGAAAGGTGGGCACTGTTTCCCTGGGTATTTCCTTTTACAGGGGGGAACCCAGGCCTGGAAGACACCCTGAATTGTAAAAGCCAGAGACCCACAAGGCTGTCTGGCCCCTGGAGAGACTTTATTTACATTCTGGAAGTTTATAAGAGTGAGAACTCAGGATCCTTAACGTCTCCAAGGAGTCGAGATTTTTCTTCTTTCATTTGGCAGCAATGGGGAGGCAGCTGTCTTCTCCAATGATACAAGTTTTAAGTCCGGCTTTCTCTTTGTCATTATTTACTTGTTAGTTGAATAATGATAATGTTTCTGACCCACAATACCTCAAGTGCACATTCAGGATCAAGTTAATAAAGATGAGTACTATAAAACCAATAATATTCATCCTCAATTGCCCTCTTGATTAGAAGAACAATGAGTTTTAGTGTGTATATTGGGAAGAACTTGTTCATTATAGAATTTAACTAGAAAAGGAAACAAACAAAACCATGACAGTATTATCACTTAATTTTGCTTCTGCCATTTAAATGGACTCTTTTCCAACATAAAGTTACTTCAACACGAAGAAAATAAACTCTCTTGGTATTTTCTCTTCAGGTGACAAGGCAACTGTTTGAGCCACTGGTTATGCAGCTGATTCACTGGTTCACTAACAATAAGAAATTTGAAAGCCAGGATACTGTTGCCTTACTAGAAACGATATTGGTGAGTAAGGGTTGACTTTTTTTCTGCTGTTCCTATTTTTCTACTTATATTTGGTATGTTTTTAGCACTTCAAGAAATGTTATCTGTCAAGATATCAAAATATAGCATTTAGCTACATCATATTTTTTCTTTTGTTTTAGAGAATTGGTGACATGCCATTTTAATAATCAGGATGCCATATTTATTTGTTTAAGTGATACTTTTAAATACCTGCAAGCAAATATTCACATTTTAATTAGTTTTCTGATTTGGGGGAGAATGGTCATAAATGTGACAAACTTGATCTATATTAAGACTGTCGTGGGGGGTTGTGGGTGGGAGGCGTGAATAAAATTGTTTATTTATCAGAACCCTTTTAGCAGTACCTATTTTAAAAAATATCTCTAGTGCAATAATTAAGGATTATTTTTAAGTTATCCAGTTTTCTCCTGCATTCAGATTCAACAACTAAAGGGCCCTAGAACAATAGCTTAGCATTTATGTAATACTATTCTGACCTTAGAGGTAGAATCATTAAGATTTGGTCACAAGTTCACTAAAGGCAGAGAAAATGAAGTCAGCTAAAGCCTTAGTGTCTTTTGAAACTTGTTTTATTATAATTTTCTGAACTTGTACAAATAACTTTACATTTGACCCATTGAATGTTATTTGATTTGATTTTACCTGTTATTTACCTATAATTTTTCTTTTTCCATATACTGACTTTGGAATCAAAAGTCCCAGTTAAACATATAGGAAGTTTGTCCAAACAAAGTCCTATCATTGCATCTTTTACAGATTGATTCTGATTTAAATCTGTGTGTTTCTTTTGTTTGAAATAAGTCAGAGGAAACAGGGGATTTGACAAGGGCATCCAGACAAAGGAGATAAAGGCATTAGGTGCTTGGTGTGTTTGTAAAAATTAGATCTGTTTGAGTTTTGCTTGCATAGGAGCATTGTGCTGAGAAGGTGGGGCTAGGAAGGTGTGTTGGGTCAGAATAGCAGAATATTGTAGGTAGGTTGACCATACATTCTGGTTTTCCCAGGACAGTCCTGGATGTGCCTGTTGTGTATGTAACTATTAAGAGCAATCCTTTCACTCTCAGAGTGACCCTAATTGGATAGATGCCATGTTGTGGGGAGTGGAGAGTTATTGAACGTTCTTATTCACATGGTGACATAATTATATCTATGCTTCATTTCTCTGCACTATGTACCAGTGAATCCTGCCTATAATAAATACATTAAATTATTTTTAAAAGTTTAGCACAGCTTTATTCTTAATAAGCCCAGAACTGAAAATAACAGGGTAATGGATACATAAACTGTGTAATATTCATATTGTACTACAATATTAAAAAAATAAACTAGTGACACATGTAATACATGGATTAGTCTCAAAAACATTAAGTTGATTAAAGGAAGTCAGACACAAAAGAGTAGGTACAGAATGATTCCATTTACATGAAGTTCAATATAGACTATCTTCGACCTAGAGATTACCACTCTGGCTTTCATCATCATAGATTAGCTTTGTCTATATTGAACTTCATGTAAGCACATTAAATTAAATTAAATTTCTGGCTTGTTTGCATTCACATCAACTTATTCTAATGTTTTTATTCTGAAGTTTTTATCTTAGCTATTTCTTTTCCCCCTTTGAACCTTGAAATTAACTTAAATAAGAGCTTCAGAAAGCATTCGGGTCAGATAATGAAAATGTAAAAGAGATAGTTGAAGGAAGAAAAGGTAAAGGAGGAAATGTGAAGTTGGTAGTACAGCACTCAAGTAAAAGGGCATCTGTCAGTCTTCTAATAAGAATTGCTAATTTCCTTATGTGAACACAAACAGTATATACCTCTGCTCTGAGAAGTGGTTAATAACTTCTTCCATTTCCATAGATTACTACCTTATTGAATTCTCATTAACACTATAATCAAAGATTTCACAAATAGCAGAAAACTGGGGATGTTAGGCAGAAGTACTCCCTTATTTCATTGTTCAGTGTACTTTTTCAAGTTAAACTTTTTCTATATAGATCTAGAGAAAATAATGCCTAGAGGGAGACAGAAACATTCAAATTTCCTTAGCTGTTTTTTCAGATATTTAGAGATTGTGTCTTTATGGAGATTACTCTTACGGAAAGTTATATTTCTAGAACCACATCTCCATGTGATTTTTGTTTATGTAGCAGTACAATTTTTTTGGAACTTGCAAGGGTCTTATTCTCTTTAACCTTAATACATAAAGCATCTCAGATTCTGTTATAGGGTCAGGTCAACAACAAAAATTCCTAGCATGTGGCCATTGTGTTTCTTCAGGGAAAGACTGCTTGTTGTTACTAATTAAAGCATTCCTTTTTTAAAAAGGATTTTTCAGTTTCTGGATTTGTTTAAAGAAAGTATTGTTATTATGTCAGTTGGAAATTATTAGAGTCTAGATTCTAGAC